ACTAACAGCAGAGCGCTGAACAGATAGGAGAGGGAAAGAGTAGAGCTACAAGTCAAGAAGCAGGGGATTCTTTGAATCATCCTCCATCAATCCATAACTTTTTTTTTGTTATACATATACAAGGGCATTCAACCAGTGAGCCACATCTCCAACCCTTTTTATTTTTTATCTAGAGACGGGGTCTCACTAAGTTGCTTAAGGCTTTGCTAAGTTGCTGAAGCTGGCTTTGAACTCAAGATCCTCCTGACTCAGCTTCTTGAGCTGCCAGTTGTGTACTACCAAGCCCGGCTATCACTCTTTTATTCTTTCTTTCTTCAAGATGTTAATTGAACATCTACTAAATGTCGGACACTCATCTAGGCTCCTTGGGGAAAAAAAGAAAATCTTAACTCTATGAAACTTATCTTCTAGTCAGAAGATACAGACAATTAACAACAAATGTAATAAATAAGCCACTTGTAGAGACAATTAGAACATATTCAAAGAAAAGTAGCAGAATCTGGAGTACCATTGGGGAGAGAGGTATTGTATTTGGCCCCATCAAAAAAGTAAAATTTGGGGCTGGGATTGTGGCTCAGGGGTAGAGCACTCACCTAGCATGCATGGGGCCCTGGGTTCGATCCTCAGCACCACATAAAAATAAATGAATGAAATAAAGATATTGTGTCCAACTACAACTAAAAAAATAAATATTAAAAAAAGTAAAATTTGATCAAAGGACTGAAAGAGGTAGAGAATTACATGGCCATCTAGAAGAAGGACCATTCCAGGCAGGGGACAATGCTCATGCCAAGACCCTGAAGTGCACTGGACATGGTGGTACACCTGGCTATGTTGTTGACATTTTTGACTAGATGATTCTTGGTTGTGACAGGTGTTCTGTTCTGCATTACAGGGTATTTAGCAGCATCCCTACTGGCTAGCATCCGCTAGATGCCACTAGATGCACTCTACACTAGAGTGTGACAACAAAAAATGACTCCAGCCAGGTGCACTGGTACATGCCAGTAATCTCAGTTACCAGGGAGGCTGAAGCAGGAGAATCGCAATTTCGAGGGCATCCTTGGCAATTTAGCAAGATCCTATCTCAAAGTAAAAAATAAAAAGGACTGCTGAAGGGAAAAAAGTCTCCTGAGAATTTGGTGAGAGAGGTTGCCCTGGGTTGAGAACTACTGCTTGAAGTGAAATGGGGATAATTTAAAGATTTTTGAACAGAAGAGTAACACTCTGATTTACATTTTTAAAAAGATCAACTCAGTATGACCTATTAAAAATCGCCTTGGGGGCTGGGGATGTGGCTCAAGCGGTAGCGCGCTCGCCTGGCATGCGTGCGGCCCGGGTTCGATCCTCAGCACCACGTACAAACAAAGATGTTGTGTCCGCCGAAAACTAAAAAATAAATATTTAAAAAAAAAATCGCCTTGGGGGGACTTGGGGTGAAGCACTTGCCTAGCATGTGTGAGGCCCTAGGTTTGACCTATTTTAAACAAAATAAAACAAAAACATCACCTTGGGTAGTGGGTAGTGGGGTGGCGACAGAAAGGAAAAAAGCAGGAAGAGTGTTTAGGATAATTCAGAAACTTGAACTAAGTGGAGGTGGTAAGAAGTAGTTAGATTTTGGATATATCTTATAGATATAGTCTATAAGATATGAAAGAAAGTAGTTAAGGATTATGGTGGGATTCTTGGCCTAAGCAACTGGAAGGATAGAGTTTCCATGAACTGAGATAGGGAAGACTGTGAGTGGAACAGGTTTTCAATGAGAAACCAGGAGACCAGGTTTGGTCATCCAGAGTTTGAAGTGAAATTCCAATAATCCAAGTGACAGAATACGAAGCACTGAACTGGGCAGCGATGGTAGAGATGGGCAAGATACATTGTGCTCAAGAGAAAGCCAGTTTGCGTAGTGGTGCACGCCTGTAATCCCAGCTGCTGGGGAGGCTGAGACAGGAGGATCTCGAGTTCAAAGCCAGCCTCAGCAACAGTGAAGTGCTAAGCAACTTAGTGAGACCCTGTCTCTAAATAAAATACAAAATAGGGCTGGGGATGTGGCTCAATGGTTGAGTGCCCTTGAGTTCAATCCCTGGTATGTCCCCCACCCCCCGCCAAAAAAAAAGAAAAAGAGAAAAAAGCCAGTTTGATTAAAAAAAAAAAAAGTAGGGCTTGGCACCCATCAAAGAAGTGGAAGAAAATCTTGTGATTTTATGACTGGAGCAATGCTGATAGAATGAGGATGAATTCCTGAAGAAAGAGACAGAACCTAGCATGAGAAAGAGGAAAGGAAAAGACAGTAGTTGCACCACTTATCATACTGGATTTGAGATGCCCAATGGTCCGGGCAAGAGGAAAGGTCTGGGAGTTGATGAACACAACTCTGGTGCTCAGGAATGATTACATAGCTAGAAAGAAACAAAAGGAATAACTCCTCCCTCCCAGAGTTACAGATGTTCTGAGAGAGACAGACAAAAAGAAGCAATTAAGGATGTCAATAGACTAAGAAGGAATAAAGATATCCAAGAAAGGAACAGGGCATTGGAGGTCAGGGGTGAATAAGGTTCTTGGAAAATCCAAATAAACAGAAACTCAGTTTCCAACACCTATGACAATACACAAGGTGTTTTAATGTTCAGGTCCAAGACCAATCCCTTCTGTTAAATTAAAAGTAAGAATTTATTGAGAGTCAGTTATTCAAAACTTACTCACTGAAGTCATAATGTTCAAGCTTGTGGAATCATAAATAATGTTTACTAGACATAGCACATAACAACGAACTGCTATCATACATTACCATAGTTCGTGAAAAATCTGTGCTTAAGTTTATACATGGGCTCAATAGGCCTCAGAGAAGCCAAGCTTTCTGTACCCTTTGCTATCACTGATTATTTATTTCTATCTTTGGATTTGATCAATGTGTTCCTTCTACAATGTTTTACAGACTTAGAAATATATGGAAAAATCAGAGATTCTGAAAATCCTTAAAGAATCATTCATAAATTGTGTGTTTGTTATATGACAAGTGTTTTGAACTCTTCCTGATTAAACTACTTATATCTATGCAAAATGGGCAGCAAAAAAGAGACATGTACTCTCCCTAAAGGTTACAATAACACTGAAAGAAATTACTTGATCCTCATCAGATTGACCCTTCGTTTTCTCACCTCCCAATATCAAAAGGAAGCATTGCCTTTTGCAATTCCCTGAAATCTAAAGTTGAGATGAGTTTGCCATGTCTTGACTGAGATAGCTTAGCTTCCTCCTCTCACCCACTTCTTTCCTTGGAACATGATCCCAATCTGAGATAGTCAAAGGTTTCAAAATACATGTCTAATAATTGCTCTGTATATTACAACTAACTGTAGCCAATGAGATGAAATACGTTTTCCTTTTCTATTAGGTTTCCAAAACGCTCACGTTCACTCATTTACTCACAATTCACTCAAAATTTATTGTGTTCCAACTGTGAGTGGTCACAGCCTCTTGCCTGGCTTCAGGGAGAACATGGCAGAAGTGTACTGGCACAGAGAACTGTACCCTTGCTGCTTTTGGCCTTCCAGTGCTTTCCAGTCCAGGTACTTATTAAAAATTATCTGAGTAAAGGAGAAAAGTTCTACAAAGAGCTGAAAGCTTTTTCCATTTCCAACAGATTCGCAAATAGTGGCCACTCTGAGGAATGTTCGGGGACAGCTCAGGGGGCTGGACCCCTCCTCTCTCACTGGAGAAACAGGGCAGCTTCTCTCTATTTCCCAGCAAACTTTTTAAACAGCAGGGCAGAGATGGCCAGATTATCAGAAAGGAAGAAGAAGCAGAAAGCAATGTGGTTTTCAGTTGCTCAGAAAGAATAAGTTTTATCCAAACTAAGGTGTATTCACTAACTCACCATATTTCTCAAACTTTCCCAGAGAAAATTCACAAGAGGGGAGGGCATTGGCATTAATATTAACAAGTTGCCACCAGCTTCAGCACAGAAGCATTTAACAACAAATGCAGTTTAAAAAAATATATATATCTCAGCCACCAACAAGGTTTGCATTTTGGAGGTTCCTCTCCTCCAGGTCTAGGGTGGGGCGCGCGCGCACACACACACACACACAAAAGTCCAGAAGAAAGAATTGCGAGTGTAGAAGGCTCAGATTTCTCCACTGTTACAGCTATGATGCTGATCTGCTCTGGGGGCGGCTGCAATTCTGTTCACAGCTCTTGGCAGAGTGGGGGTGGGGTGGGGAAAAAAATACAATGAAGAGCCAAGTGAGTTCTAGCTTACAGCGCCTCGGTTTCTGGAACTGCAACCTCAGATTTGTAGCCTTTATCCTCGTCTCCGGCTATTTTATAATAGGCTGTACTTTTTTTTTTTTAAATTTTTTATTGTTGGCTGTTCAAAACATTACATAGTTCTTGATATATCATATTTCACAATTTGATTCAAGTGGGTTATGAGCTCCCATTTTTACCCCATACACAGATTGCAGAATCACATCAGTTACACATCCATTGATTTACATATTGCCATACTAGTGTCTGTTGTGTTCTGCTGCCTTTCCTATCCTCTACTATCCCCCCTCCCCTCCCCTCCCCTCCCCTCCCCTCTTCTCTCTCTGCCCCCTCTACTGACATTCGTTTGAGTTATTCAGATTCAACCAACTCTGGCAACTTGCCCTCCTTAAGGAATTGCCCTCCGTCCCCAACAAATGCTCTGGGACAGGTGTTCACTTGTCAAGTGCAAAAAAACCCTAAGGGAGGTTTGGCCGTCTAGTGATCCATGGTGAAGGAAGAGGGCTGGGGTGGAGAGGACTGCCCAGTTAGGCCCTCCTGGTCCGGCGCACCCCAGGGGAACCCAGAAAATACTCGCAGGACCAACAGCTGTCCCAGCCCGGAGACATCTAGCAGCGGGGCGGAGGGTCGTGGGGAGCGTCACGGCCTTCTCTGGGTTTGCCTGTCCCCGCTCTGGCCCCTACTCGACTCGGCCGCCCATCCTTACCTGAACGGTTCCTTACAGCACTAACCTCTTAGCTCGCTCGCCTCTCAGGACCCGGGACCCATAAACTGGGCTGTCCTAGCCTCGCCCACTTGTAGCTTGCCACGCCCCAGACGCTCGGGCCACGCCCCTTCATCGAGGCCACACCCCCTCCAAACTTTAGCGTCCCGCTACTTCCCTACGTACCGCTCTGGCCACGCCCCACCAGACTGTGCCAGCCCCTGCCCTCCGCCCTGGCCACACCCCTCCCACCTCGCCAAAGCCCCTCCGCTCTGAGCCTCGAGCCTTGCCTCTGAGCTCCGCTCTGACCCCACCTCTACCTTTCCCACAGGACCAACCCCACCTCTTTCCCTCTGCCTACCGCTGGCGGCATTTGTAGAGTGAGTCTCGTCTAAAAACTGACATTCCTCAGGTTTCTCCCATCTCCAAACACCGTGACTTAATGTGCTGGGAACAGATGACTCAATAGGGAAACACACACTGGACGTGTACTTTCCCTTTAGATTTCATGTCCTATTTACTCGAGTTTCTTAATATCCTCTAAACTTGAACTGTGGATCCGTGTTGCTTCCAACCAATTTTCATATCCTCTCAACCAGAACTGTAGAATCGTGTTCCTTCCAGCCCCTTGACTTTTGTCGACCTTAAATGCTAGAAAAATGCACAGAGTAAACGCTGTATTTTCCGGTGTCTCCTTCTGATGACTTTTCCTAGGCATTCAGTACCTTCTTGCTGTCTCCTTTTACAACTCTGGGTCCATGAGAAAACCGTGAAGAAGTTATAACCAGCTTTCTTAAATCTCTGACTCATTCACTCAAGCCATGTTTATGAAGCATATGCTCTCCTGACAAGCAAGACAAGCTTAAAGGACCTTTCAGTCTGAAGTTGCCCCAACTTAAATTTGGATGTGACCAAAAAAAAAAAAAAAAAAAAAAAAAAAAGAAAGAAAAAGAAAAAAGAAAGAAATGATGAGAAAGGGAGGGAAGTTGTAGCAAGGAGTTGATAGGTGAAAAAGGACTTGGTTATGACAAGTCTTCTTGATCCCGTTGTCAGGAACATTTTTGACAGAAGCAATTGGGGAGAGGGAGCACTGGGGATTGAACAGGGCCACTTAACCACTGAACCACATCCCCAGCCCCCCCATTTTAAATTTTTATTTTGGAGCAAGGTCTCACTAAGTTGCTTAGGGCCTCACTAAGTTGCTTAGGACTTCACTAAGTTGCTAGGGCTTTGCTAAGTTGCTGAGGCTCGTTTTGAACTTGTAATTTTCCTGCCTCAGCTTCCAGAGTCGCTGGGATTACAGGCATGCTCCACTTGGCCATAGGAAGCAATTTCTATAATACTTAGTACACTGTTTTATACAATAAATTTTTTATTGAATATCTTTACTTTTTACATAATCAGAATTTTCTCTTTGTAAGCTTTGCTACTTACGTTTCTTCATATGCCAACAACAAAGATTTTGTGATCACATACTAGTTCGTTTTTCTTTTCTTCTCACCCTCCATTCCATTTCTGGCTTGAAGACAGTGAGAATATTTGAAGTGTTGCCCTAGAAGGACCACAAGGAAAAGAACAAGTTTCAAGAGAACACTTTTATTAAGCTCACTCTGACCTTAAGAACTCTGCCTCATTTATAAAATGTTTCAGCTGTCAGTCATTTTTTTGTCTGAAAAATGAACTCACAAAAAATTGGTACAAATAAATCCTGTATACATTACTGAGTTGGTTTTTATATACATAATTCTACCTCATCTTCTTCCATAAATTACTTGAGGCACATTACTAAGATATAGACATTACTAGGTGAAAGAAATACTTGACAGAACCAGGGAGAGGAGAGTTTAGTGGAAGGAGAACAATGTGGCTAATAAGACTAATATTTAAGGGGCTGGGGTCGTGGCTCAGTGGTAGAGTGCTCACCTAGCACGTGTGAGGCACTAGGTTTGATCCTCAGCACCACATAAAAATAAATAAATAAAATAAAGGTATTGTGTCCAACTACAACTAAAAAATTTTTTTTAAATTAATATTTAAGCTTGTATTCTATCAGATCCAGAACGGTTGTCAAAGGCAGGACAGAAATTTGAACCTAAGCTTTTTAGCCACAGAAAAGAAGAGACAGCAATCATTTTAAGGGTTTCCGGTGTTCATAAGATAAAAATCAACTGGGTTATTTGTTTTTGTTTTATTTTTATAGATGCGCAGTTTTTCTTGAATTTTAGTCCTGAGGGAAATCCTGTTTCCTCTTAAAATTGATGCAGTAAGCTAATTGGAAATTCAGTGTTATAAAGACTTGTACCCAGATTCCCTCAATGGAAACTGCTGGCACAATGACAAAGCAAAGTGCATTAAATTGATTCTATAAACCATCAAAACTTTTCTGTTCACTTGAATACATAGGCCCTCAGTGGTCTGCTGAATTCAGGATAGCAATTAGATGATGTCTCCCTGGGATAAATATCAGACAGTAGAAGACTTAAGACCTCTTTCTCAAGTTGTGCCACCCACACTGGTTCCAGAACATTTCCCTTAGTTACTCTCATTGTTTGGACCACTCTTTGTCCAGATCTTTACAAGGCTTAGATCTTCAATTGTTTTTTTTTTTCTTTAGATTTTCAATTGTTTACATCATTCTATTCTCAGCTAACTTGTACTTCTTTAGAGACATCTTTCCTGACAACTATATTTGAAGGTTTATCCAGAACCCCTCAATCTGTACTGTGCATAGGGACCACCTAGAGATCACATTTTAAAGTAGATCTGACGCAGTGGTTCTGGCAACCACAACCTGAGTTCTGCATTTCAAGCAAGCTCCCATGTTCCATGAAAGAAACTTCTGTTATGAAAATGAGAGCATCTAACAAAAGTGGCATATGGCCCAATGCCACTTACACCTCTTTATAAAAGCTGGCAAAGAAAGTTTGTATGGGCAGGGCTAAATAATATTGAGCAAATTCTAACAGGTGGCCAAATAAGTGATTAAAGATCAGAACTCCTAACTCCTATTTCCATGCATGGCTGTAAGAATTTTAGCCTAGAAAAACAGGCATTATGTGCCAAGACCATGGAAAAATTTTAACATAACACACAAAAGCAGTGTAAACAGGGCTGGGGATATATCTTGGTGGGTAGAGTGCTTGCCTCGTATGCACAAGGCCCTGGGTTCAATCCCCAGCACCACCAAAAAAAAAAAAAAAAAAAAGCAATGTAAACAATTGAAAATCTAAAGGAAAAAAAAAACAATTGAAGATCTAAGAAGAAATATCAGAAGATTCAGTCCAGTCTTGCTTTTACTGTATGTAACTCACTTTTTTGGTGTTCATTCACATAATGAGACACACATACAAGCACTTAAGCATCAAAGTTTAGAAAACTATCCTGTCAGTTCTCATATTACGAATACAAAGGTGGCAAAATTACACACACTCAGTTTGTCTGAGTTAATTTTTATTTCCAAGCAGTAGTGATTAACTTTCCATGAAGTAAAATATAATGTTAGTCTGCAGGGGGAAAAAAAATCAAAGTTCACATTAGCTATGCTATTAATTCACCTACAAAATTTTGATGAGCCTTTTGAATATGCTAATTTCATAAGATTGTCCCACCTCAAAATAGGAATAAAATATAAGAATGGAGACAAAAAGATTCCAAAATCCAAATTTCTTTGTTTAATAAATTCTGGAAGTTGGTTCTCCTTTTTTGCCTGGCCATGAATGAGAAAAAAAAGTGTAATATAGATCAAGACATTTCATTCCCAATAGTTTTGGGCTTCTTAGGACTCCAGTTTGTGGTTAGGATTAGTTGATTCAATTATATTCAACAAATATTCTTCAACTATGAGAAAAACAAAAATGAACCAAATATAGTCTCTGCCCTCCGGGAACTCACAGTTTTACAGGGCATAAAAATAAATCATGTTGGAAATAGATGCATGTACAAGTGTGAACAAAATGCTCTGGGAACACAAGAGGAGAGAATAAAAAGTGGGTTCACAAATCAATTATAAAACTGTTGAACAAAAGAAAAAAAAGGAGGTGATAGTCAAGTTAGATCTAAAACAACAGCCATGATGTTTAAAGGTAAAAAGTAAAAGCTTGCAGGATGTAAGTTAAAGAAATCCTGTGAAAACACATACAAAGGACAAAGGTAAGATGGGACCAACTTGCAGATTCAATGGCTCAGAAGAGGATAGGGGAGGCAGCATTAGTGTAGATGCATCTGAAAAGCCAAGTTAGGACAGGAGAAGTGGCACAAGCCTGTAATCCCAGTGACTTGGGAGGCTAAGGAGGAGTATCACCAGTTCATAAACCAGCCTCAGCAATTTAGCAAGGCCTTTAGCAACTTAGTGATACCCTCTCTGAAACCTGAAAAATAAAAAGGGCTGGGATACATGTGACTCAGTGGTTAAGTGCCCCTGGGTACAATCCCCAGTACCAAAAAAAAAAAAAAGCCAAGTTGGGTCCAGATTTAGGGGACAAAGTTTTGGGATTCACTGACATTGGCTCTAGGGTGCTAAGAAAGATAGCAATGTATGGGCTGGGATTGTGGCTCAGTGGTAGAGTGCTCGCGTAGCATGCATGAAACACTGGGTTCGATCCTCAGCACCACATAGAAATAAAATAAAGATATTGTGTCTACCTAAAACTAAGAAACAGATATTTAAAAAAAGAAAAGCGCTTGCTTCACATGTGTGAGTCACTGTGTTTGATTCTCAGCACCACATATAAGTAAATGAATAAAATAAAGGCCTATCAACAACTAAAAATATATTTTTTAAAAAAGAGAAAGATAGCAATGTGAGAATGGCTTTGGCATAAATGCCAAGGAGAAGGACAATGGAAGTTAGAGAGCACTCAATGACAGTGAGCCCTTCTAATCAAGGGATCTTGGACAGGTGGGACATACTGCTTCAAACACCCAGGGGAGGGTCACTGTGGCTATGGCAGCAGAAAGGGAAAGGAAACAGATAATTTACAAAAGGAATGAATGAAAGGGGAAAGCAAGAGAAGGGGAGTTTAGAAATCAGAGTCAGCTGGTATAAACTTTGTGCCACCCTTTCTGGACCCTGGTCATTTCCATTG